TGTGTCCAAGAGAAAGAACTGGAAGTACAGGGCAGCAGAACCCTGGGTTACAGGATCTGTGGCCCTCTCCTCTGCAAAGCAGTCCCACTGAGACTAAAGTGACACAAGTCACCAGGACTGAGGTCCACATGGTCATAAACTGGGATATCTCACTCTTCTTCCCCTCCCCAGCCTCAGAGGCCTGACTCTCCCAGGAGAGCAGGTGTTCCGGGGAGGGAGAGAGATAAAGAAGTGAGTGGGAGCATTCATTCATTTGAATACTTCATACATAGGGCAGGCAGGTGGTAGAATGGAGATTAAAGGAAAACATAGCTAGAGCAGAGAAGCAGGCCTGTGTCAGCATGAGCTCTGCACCAGCTTCTGCTAAGTTCTAACAATGGTGACTAGCATTGCCTGGGGGGAGGCGGAGAGATGTCAGAGTGGAGACCAATGAGGAGAAAGCTGAAGGTAGGATACACAAAGCCCACCAGACAAGGAAAGCAAATTTTGATGGTGGGAGATATGCTGGCCCTCCTTAGGAAATGGGGAAATGATTTCCCTGGATAGCTGTGGTATCTGGGTTGTGGTTGGAGATTGGAAATACTACAAGGCCAAAGATCCAAACAGCAATGAGCTGCCCAGCTTAGAGTGAGGGCTGAACAGCTAGACCTTTCTAAACAGAGGGAATTCATGATCAAATTTGTATTGTAGACAGCTGACAGCCCTGTGAAAGATGGATCCGATACTTATAAGCATGACTGATGACCAGTCCCAGAGGATTTCTTCTGAATCTACGGAGCCCAAGCTTGACTACTCCCTAACCCTAGAATTGCATCCTTGGAAGATGAAAATCTATAATGTGGTGATGGCTTCCTAGTGTCTCTGTGTCCAAAATAAACGATCCTTAGCATTCTCTTACTGAAGAGTTTTTCCCATTTGTGCATCCTGTTGACTATTCTGACTAGCAGAGCCATCCCTGCAGCCTCCAGAGAGTCATGAACACGGAACTCTAAGGACCCCAGCAAATAGGGAAAAAGTTGCTCCTCAATAAGCCCTCTTCCCATGCCATCACTGTACCTCCAAACAAGGCAGAAGTCATAAGAATATTTTCTGGATGCATTCTGTGATCATCAGTCTGGCCAAGCAAACAAAAACACCTGGGCATGTCCCACAGAGCAGGCCTGCTGGAGCTGCATTTACTGGGACATATTTCAGGAAGAGCAGGAAGGGCTCAGGAACTCTCCATTTAAGACAACACAACATCCTGCAGGACTGGATCTCTACCACCATGACCTCTGGGGTGTGGGTTCTGCTTAGCGTGAGTTAAGAGGCTGGAGAGCTGGTTCAGTGGTTAATAGCACATGCTGCTCTTCCAGAGAACCTGAGGTCAGTTCTTGGCATGCATACACATGGCTCACGACTTCCTATAACTCCTGCTTTAGGGGCATCTGACATCTCTGACGTCCTCAGACACCTGCCCTCATGTGTACATGTACCTCGTACATATACACACACATAATACACACAATTTATAATAATTTTTAAATCATTAAGAAGCCTGAGTTAGAAGTACCAGTTCCTGACTACATGAGGAGTTAGAACTTAATTGTAATACCTCTAGGAATCTGGGGCCCATCTTTACACTTCAAGCTCAGCACTGGTGTCTGGGAAGTGCTTCTGCTCCTCCCCTGGCCTGAGCTTCATGGTATACAAGCCATGTCCAAGTGTGATTGCTTGGTTCCCTCAGCATTGTTGGGGTTTATAAAGGATCAGTAAAGAAAAAGTAAACCCTTCCTTTTCAGGGGAGAATCTCACCAGGAAACATTTAGCCTCTGGTACTTTTCCAAACCCCCCAACTTTGTCTCCCACATTTGGTGTCCCATGTCCATCTCTATCACAGCGCTGTTCCTGCACCTCACATGACTTACCTCAGGACTTGATGTCCATGTCTCCTGCTGTGTAGTTCCCTCTAGAATGTGGGTTCTATGTGTTCTCTCCGGTTCACTCCGTCTGTTTCCCCTAAAGGCCTTTTTAAATGTACACCTCTCTTTCATGTCAGTTCTGGTTCCTAGGTGAATAGATTTCACCCTCCCAGAGTTCACATTTTGCCCTGAGAACTCCCCCCCCCCCGCACCCCGTGCCTGCTCCCATGCCAAACCCCAGCTCCTCACTTGTGCCTTCCTAGTGACATCTGATGGGGTTGGTGGAACTTCCCACCCAACAGACTAGGGTGTCCTGTCAAAGAGAGGGATATTATCATCTGGGCTCTTTTGAACCCAATTTGTCAACCACATTTTGTCCAGTAGGTGACTCTGTGTTAGGAAGCTCTCTCAACATCTTTCAGTTAGGGTTAACCAGATAAATAAGTAGCATAAACATTAAGAAAGGATGGCATGGTTGCACTTTTGGGGGCTTCCCTTGCCAGCTGCAAACCTGGACAGACAGCCTTCAGGATAGTTCAGAATCCCTTGGCTAGAACACCCTCACCATGGGAGCCTCGGCTCTGCTCCAAAAGGATCTCCACGGACTCAAGTCTCTCCATCGCAGCTTGTCTACGCTGATTTCTCTTAAGGTTATTGATTTTGATTGAACGGCTGTTATGAGATATGGTTCCAGCCACATCTAGATAAGCATTTGAATGCTAGACTGTAACATGACTGAGTTGGCACACAGAATTGACTACCACAGTGCCCCTGACTGAGGGCATCCCTTCTTTAATAGCTTTCTCCCTTGGTGCTATATTACCTAAACTTCAGTGTTAGGGAATAGGGAGATGGGAAGTGGACGGAGAAACTCCTTGGAGACGGGAGATCAGCCTCCATCTACTGCATGTCTCTCCTCTATGTCTCTCCAACTATAATATTTTGTCATTCTGATCCCACACAGGACTGATTTTGTTGGAATCTTCCTTCCAGCAACAATCTTCCTGGAACAAGGTGGCACAGGAGAGAGCAGAAAGTAATGCACAGGCCTTCCTCCAGTCTGGCTTCTCTCTGTGGTCCCCATCCCTTTCTGTACCATGTTGAACACTGACCCCTTGCCCACACAAAACACCAGAGTTTCTCCTCAAGGGTTTCACAGTCTTTCTGTTCATTGCAAAAATATTTCAGACATACCCAAAGAAGCTAAGATTCACATCACTGGGGGCGGGGGGGGGACTGGCAGTGTTTTCTTAGTGACTTTCTGAGTCATATACCAGCCCTGACTGCTGACTCTCTAAAGTCCAGGAGGTCCTAACAGAGTGGCTCTTTATTATTATTATTATTATTATTATTATTATTATTATTATTATATATTTACCCTGAACTTACTTGTTACTTTGAGTCTTTTATTGCTATAAGACATTATAAATGAGAAAGTTTTTCTGTTATGATTCAGAAATTCCTTACATTTCTATATTGCATTTTACTTGAAAATGGACCAGATCTTTCTTCTGTCATCTCTTTCTGCCTTGGTTCATTCAGGATTCTGTGGTAGAACACCACAGATTGAGCAGATTCCATCTGCATGCCAAATATCTTGGACTATACTGTGACGGTACAGTCCTTCCAAGTACCTGTTTAGGTTCGAGTGCACTTGACCATAACAAATTACCCCAAACCTTGAGGATTTAAAAACAAAACAAAAACAACAAAATAACCATTTATTAGCTCAAAATCCTGTAGGTTGGTTGGGCAGTCTAGTTGGGCCCATCTCAGTGGCATCTGCACACACCTGGCTTTCTTGATGGCAAATGGAAGATCAAAGTAGACCTCATTTACATGCCGTAGGCCTGACAGACTGGACTGTCAGGATGCCTGGGTCACGTGGGTTTGGATGTCGGTGGCAGGATTCCAGGATCATAGGAAAGAAAGCACAGACCTTCCCCCATGTCTCACTTGCTCCGAACATCTCACTGCTCTTTAGCCAAAATCAATCGTCTTCAAACCATGCTTAAAACATCGGCTGACCTTATAATTCAGTCTTTAGATGATATCAAAGGGAGATTAAGAGTCTGGTAAAGAAGTGAGTTTTATAGAGACACACAGGGTTCCAGGGGGATCTTGTTTTCCCCATTTAGGACAAGAGGATCCTTGTCTACATTTGCTTGACAGATAATCACAGTGTGGAAGTGGGATGGGTTTGTGACTACAGACATTTTGGAAATTACCGCATTTCATCTACTACCCAAACATATTTCTTCAAATTTGAACATCTCTAAAAATCCAGATAAATCTTGCAATAGATAGCAGGTCACAGTTTAATGTGCATGGTTTCTTCTTCTTAATTGCATAGGAAATAATGGTACTTCTTATAAATGGATTGTATTCTATCTGCCCATACTTTCTTTTGCTGTTAGTACTCAGCACCTCACACTGCAGTCCACCCCATGCATATTTTGAACATCTCCAATGATGGTCTAAGAACAAGGCCAGCTCATGTCATTCCAGTGTGGCCTCTGGGGGAGGGGGGGATCTGCTCACTGCCAGGCCATTTGTGGCTTGAGCCTATTGCTCTCAAACATGGGAGACTCTCCAAGGATCACAACGGACTTGTTCTTATCAAGCCTCTCTCTATTTCTATTCTGGGAAGAAAGGGCATAAGAGAAACAATATCCCTGTCTCCATAGAGTTCAGAAGCCCTGGGAGGCATTGGGCTAGAGAACATAGTGAATTGCTTCCTCAATCTCTTTTGTCTGTCTCTAATCTGGGCACATCTGACTTCTCCCTGACAGCCTCACCCAATTCATGCAAATCTGCCAGTCAGGTGGCTCTGCCACCCACTGTTTGGACTTGAATGAGTCCAGAGCAACAGAGACCAGACTCTCCCTGAAAGGGAGAAGAAAGTCTCAAAGATGAGCAGAGCCCAGCAATGACACTTTGCTGCCAAGGGGGAGGGAGGAGACAGATCATGAGTGGAGTCTGCACTCTTGGTTTATCCCTGGCCTCCATGGGTTAAATTTGTAAGGCCATGGAATAAAAAGAAAAACACACAAACTGAAAATGAGTTTTCTATCAACACTGTGAAATATGGAAAGCTGGAACGCAAGCTGCCACTAAATTCTCTGCCCAGAAACCTGCAAACTCCTGGCGGCTACTGCTCCCAACACAAACATCAACACATAAAACTGGAAATCATGGATGCTCAGCTGGGAGTTTTGATTGATTATAAATTTTTATATAATCAAAATTACCTGAGTCACTCTGTACAGACTTGACTTTGTCTAAAATCTGTGAATGGACTTGAGGAAGGAAGAATATAAGAGCCAGCCCTCTTTGTACTGTCTCCAAATGACTTTTCTGTAAATCTAAAAAAAACTTTTCGTGAGACAGTTGATTGGCTTGATCAGTTTGGGAGGCAACTAGGCAGTGGGACCAAGTCCTGTGCTCATTGCATGAGTTGGCTGTTTGAAACCTGGAACTTATGCAGGGACACTTGGATCAGTCTGGGAGGAAGGGACTGGACATCCCTGGACTGAGTCTACCAGGTTGATCCCAGTCCTCGGGGGAGGACTTGTCCTGGAAGAGGTGGGAATGGAGGGTGGGCTGGGGGTAAGGGGAGAGGGTGGGAGGGGGGAGAATAGGGGAACCCATGGCTGATATGTAGAACTGAATGGTATTGTAAAATAAAATATATATATAAAAAAAAAAAAACCTTTCCTTGCCCAGCGATGGTGGCACACGCCTTTAATCCCAGCACTCAGGAGGCAGAGCCAGGTGGATCTCTGTCAATTCGAGGCCAGCCTGGGCTACAGAGAGAGTTCCGAGAAAGGAGCAAAGCTACACAGAGAAACCCTGTCTCAAAAAAACCAAAATACATAAATAAATAAAAAAATAAAAAAATAAATAAATAATAAAAATTTAAAAAAAAAAAAAAAAAACCTTCCAAGTCAAAACTTTTCACACAGAGAGCTATGAAGGGTAGGTATTTCCCAGGGG